CTACAATCACTCTTCTCCTTGGTTTGCAAGGTGGTCTGACCATTCTTATTAAATGGATCTGTCCTAAACTAGTTTATGGTCTAGCCAAAATATATAATTATCGAAAGAGGCAAACAAATATTATTCAACCGTCATATTCTCATGGAATATCAACTATTAACATTACTACTACAAATGTTTATAATGCCGAAATAGATCCAAAGTCAATACCAACAAATAGAACATTACGGTATGTGTGTTTCATATTGATTTGATTTATAATAGAAATGACAATAGTTACTTTTGTAAACATTTTTATTGTTTAATACTCTGACAAATTTAATCAAATGTTTTGTTTATAAGTTGATCATTTTCGATGTCATTGATAATCTGAGTTATGGGACGTAGATAAAGTATTTAATAGTTTCTTTTCAAAGACTGGTTACTTTGTATACGCGTCATAATCCAGTTTATAAATAATATCAAAAAATGATCTCGCAAGTAAAGTTATAGCTAAAATTAAGATCAACAACGTTAGCAATAAAATATCTGATTAAGTGTGTCAAACTATTCAACTGTAAAATAAATCTAGAAGAATAATTCATAATAAATATTCTACCACTAATTTACAATCAATACTTTTTTTACATTAGAGCAACGTTGACCTCAAAATTGCAATGTTCTTACAAAGTTATATCAGTGTGTATACTACTGATATTTATTGCAATTGGCCTTATTATATTTTCTATCTATATCAATCGACAAGGTAAGATTAAAATTGAAAGTGTGGGTGTGGGATGGTTGTGGGTAGTTATAGAGAAGCCTTCTCAAACACACCCTCATCCATCCCCTATACACACCCACATCCACACCGTTGAACTTGGGTTAAATTTCTTTTTCAGATCTCTTGGTAAGCACGACAATCAGTGTCAGCACAAACACAACGACAATGCCAATGCCAACAACTTCAATTATCAAAAGTTAGTAAACTAAAATTATTTTAATTTTCTTCTATGATCGCTTCGGGTGAACAAATAAATCTAGGGATTCTATTAAAGTAATGAAACATATACGAAGTCTTTAGAAAGTTTTCAATCACTTTGGTGACTGTCATTCATCAATATTTTACACTGATTAAATAAGTGTATTAATCTTCTCAAGCTAATATTTTCGTCAAATTATATTCAGGCCGAGCAGTACAAAATGATTAATAAAGACTATACTAATACCTGTAAAGAACAAATGAGAGAATAATATAAATATTAAAAGAGATTTTTTAAGTGTTCTTGTTAAGTAGATGAAGAAGATGATCCATTGAGAGCAAACCTAGATCTTTCTTTTCTCAATAAAGACAATAGAAATATCTCGATCAATGAATTGATCAAGATTAAATTGTTTCTTAATCATACCATTATTTTCTATATTAAAAATAGAGGTAAAACAAGAAACAAGATCAAATACATATATCAAAGAATATAGATGTTCATCGAAACACTACAGTTATGTCAACATCTTTCTTGAGAACATTACAAAATTTGATGTGTTTTCGTAGGATTTCACTGTTTGCAAGTGTAACAGAAAGAGAGTTAGTAAATTTCATAGATTTATAGATATGATAGGGCTAGTATTAAGAATAGCAATATGAAACTGATCTTTGTTCCATATGATAGAATTTAACTTACTTTACCTTTTCGACTATTCTATTTTGAATATATGTATCTGTGATATTTTCACTCATATTCACAACTGAGACAGTCGACAAGAATCAAGTGACTGTGCATACAGTATCTAGAACATTCGGAGAATGATTCTAGAGGTAGATTGATAGTTATCAATAGTAATTCGTAAGTATACGATACTAATACTCAATGTAAATTTAGTTCACGTAAATTCTTTCTCAGATTTATGTAATTTAAATTGTGAAAATAACTTATTATTTTTTTTCATTAGAATCAACTTGTCTGTTAACATTTCAACCAATATTAACTAATATGTCTCAAGAGTATCATTGGTCAGATATAGTCCTTGACGCTGATTTTAACGGCGACAACCAATTAGATCTTGCATATTTTTGTGCACGCTTAGGACACATAATTGTACTGTTTGGAAATGGCAATGGGGCTTTTAAAACAGAAAAAATCTTCTCGGCATTACCGGTACGTTATCAATCAAAGCATGTTGCTGTTGGTGATTTTAACAATGACAATCGATCTGATCTCGCTATTATCCATACTGGATCAGAAGTGAAAATGTATATTTTGCTTGCAAATGATAAAGAGATATTTAAAGTAAACCCAACGATTTCCATAGAAGGGACCTATAGTACAAGAAATATTTTTGTAGCTGATTTTAATAGTGACAAATACTTAGATATCGCTGTCGTCAATTCTATGCCGGCTAGTATTGTTATTTTTGTTGGGTATGGTAATGGAAGTTTCTCAAGGAATGCAACGTTTTCAACAGTGCCTAGTAGTGCATCAGAATGTTTTGCTATTGTTGACTTTAACGATGATGGTCAATTAGACATCGCTGTCAAAAATGAGAAGTCTATGACTATTAGTGTATATTTTGGACTTGATGACGGAACTTTTGAATTACCGAAGTGGCTTTATACGGGACCTCTTTTCTCTAAATGCCGTATCTTAGCTGATGATTTCAATGGTGACACTCGAATAGATCTTCTGTGCTACAACTCTCGAAAGAATCTTATTAGTCTAATGTCTGGATATGGTAATGAAACTTTCGAACTACCAAAGTGGGCTTACATTAACGATATTTCTGTTTCGAGTAATATTTCACATAACAACTTCGACGTTAACACTCGATATGAGGTCATTCTCAACAATATTTGGAAAAAAAAGCTTATCATCAATTTACATGAGCAGGGAACTGCATTTTTTGTTAATGATTATAATTGTGATGATTATGCAGACATCATTGGTCATAGTGGTGATAGCGTTATAGTTGGCCTGCTTGGCCATGGAAATAGCAATTTTGAGAAACAAACAATACTTTCGCCTAATGGTTATGGAACTGTAGCGGATATCGCTGTCGGTGATTTTGACAACGATTCTTATCAAGATATAATGGTTACCCATTATGGATCCAGTATCATAACGATTCTTTTAAACAGATGTGAATGTTGCAAACTTAAAAAACTCTAGAGAAGTACTTTTATTCATCAATGACTTTTTATGAAAATCTCGCTTTCATAAATCCTCAATTTGTCGAATCAAAAATGCTGCATCACAAAATGCTTTTTTCTTACTTATTATAAAATATTGTACGCAAAGCTTTTCTTAATTTGCTTTTAACTTATATTTAACTTATTACATACTATAAATGTTTTAAAGAAATAATTAGATGGCGTGTCACTTATATAATTTTATTTTTATGTTCGAGTTAGGATGTGGGTATGGGCATTCTATTTTATTCAAATCCACACTTACACCCACCCTCAATATGGTTAATAAAATGAAAATGTCAACTTCAGTCCAGTGACATAATTTGTCTTTCTCAGAAAAGATATTATCGATAAACTGGAAATCAAATAAAGAAATGATTTTCATTGTCGGATTGAATTTAATTAAGAAATAATGTGGAAAATTGTAGAATAAAAGTAGCACTAACCTCTCGCATCTTCATTCACTGAGGACGAAATTTTTTTGATACCCATACATTTCGTCCTTTTCTTATCCCTTACTATTCGTCCTAAATGCTTTTTGTTCGATTTCATTTTGTCTTTTTACAATTCGTCCTAATTATCTCTTGCCCCATTACATTTCGTCCTCTTACATCACGTCCCAAAAGTTAAGTGTTCACTTTTTATCACGATAATATCATGAATTAAAATTTAAGGTGGGTGTGGGTCTGGGTGTTGGGGTGGATATGAATAAAGGAGATACACATACCCACACCCACACCCATACCCTCGAGATTCTTATCTCACTCATACTAATAAAATAATGTTCTATTATTTTTATTTTTTTATAATATTATTAATATATACTTGTTTTTGCTTATCATTTTATAGACCAATAAAAAATAAAATAATGTCTCTACAGTGCTACTCAAATGCATAAAAACAACATGCTTTCGCACAATGAAAACAAGTGTTAAATTGTCAGTAGTAGAGGAGCGCTCATCACTATATTATATTTACTATTAAACACAGTACTCATACATGTCGAGTTTTTCAAATGAAAAACAAAGAAATACATTATAGATATGATAATCTAAGTAGAAAATAGCGTATATAAAGAATTAAAGATATGCGTCTACAATACAAAATTTAGCTATATAATTCTATTCTTTTTCTATGATAGTTTACTTGTACTTACTAGAAACTTAACTATCTAAATATGATCAAGTCTTAGACATTTGAGTCTAAACGTTCGTGTCGATGCTTAACCGGTATATATATTAAAAATTAAACCGTAAAAATAACCACGTGGAACTCAATGAAAATAGTTTAGTCGTAATACGTTTTTAGAATACGAATGAATAAAATCATTACATATTTATGATAGTAAGAAGCATAAGCTCAAAGTAAATTTGATGCAAAGATAAGATGCGCTCACTGTAATTATCATATTTAACGTATCTGGTTCTTTTTACTCATGATTAAGTATCTAAAACATTTCGCAAATCAATGATTCATACGATAATGTTGCTATAATCTTTAGTGGTGTTTTTAGTTGACATTCAGTTATATAACACTATTTTTTATTTTTCTAAATATTTGATTGATTACGAAAAAGAAGTAAAACTATCTGCTCATCATTATCGGTGTGATATCTCAAGCTCGAACTCACTTGAACTGATGCATCACTTTTCCCTCTTAGAACTGATATGGAACTATCGCATTCCTATTCGAAACATTATTCAAATTTTTCTACTTTAATCTATATGGTTTACACCTATATTATAGTAGATAATACGTTGTCTATCGCAAACAATCATAGAAATTTGTTTTTTTGATAAACCAAATATACTTATGAGAACGTATCCTTCTGTAACTCTATAATCTATATTGTGAGTAGTTATAATTACAGAACGTATCATGAATAGTAACTACTTGATAAATTAATCTATCGAACTTTTAAAAAATAATCAAGATGAATCAACATACTTTTTTATACTCAACAATTCTAGTAAGCTATCATGTTTTTATGAGTTATATGTCGATTATAAACAGCCAATATGAGTTCAATTAATTAACATTATCTCATTCAGTGATTATTAATCTTCAATACTGTTGGAATAATATGTTAGTTTAAATTCTGGAGACGAAGAGGTCAAGATGAATGCAAAAATGGTATAAGTCATTTGTCTGATGCATATACCTTAGCAGTTAATACTATACAAACATTTGTATATGACTGATACACCGGACTATCAATATTTTTAAATATTTCATATTGATTAAAGCTCAAACAAAATAAGTGAGACATTAAAAGAAGTAGTAGTTTTTCTTTTATAGAATTGCCGTTGTTTTCAATTATAGACGAACTTAGAACAATGATGTAACTCATGCTGCTCCTTACTTATTGATTATAAGGAAAATTCTCCATAAAGAATATTTTAGATGACAAAGTGATATAATAGTTATTATAAAGAAATTAACATATGAATTATTTCTCGAATGATCCAAAAGATATGAGATAAAACTTACTTAGATTTCTTTTTGAATGATTTGAAATAATCAAAGATATGATTATATATTTTGTAATTTCTGATTGATAATGAAAATATCGATGAAAACTATTTTCCAATCAAAACGTTTAAACAATCAAGTGATATAAAATTCATTTCCATAATTCTTTCAATTTATTTACGTATTCTTGAAAGAAAAAATAAAAGATTATTTATTGTAAATAGATTTATTGATGTAATATGATATATAAGAGCAAAAAGAGATATTGAAAAGAAATGAAAAGAAAAAGAATAAATATAGAGAAGAATTAAGATGAAAAAGAAAAATTATGAAAAGCTTATTGACATAAAAATAAAGAATAAAACTTATAGTCATTGAGGATATATCTAACAACGAAGGTAAAGTGTTCTGATATTTTGATTGTTTGCGACAACAAGTGTTGGTTTACCATCACTATTAATATCAATCACCGCTGCATACTCTGGTTGGTCAATGTTGTCAATAATTTTTTGTTCTTTAAATGTTCCATTACCTGTATTGAAAAAAATACTAATTTTATTGTCCTTAGGATGTGAGATAATAATATCCGTTTTATTGTCATTGTTGAAATCGGCTGTTTCTAAAGATGTCAATTGATAATTAATGGTATATTCAATTGGATCGGCAAATGTACTATTGCCAAGACCGGAATATATCTGAAAATACGAAGCAAATATCATGATTAAGTCTATTTCATTGTCACCATTTATATCAACAGCTCTAACTAAAGAAAAACCATAGCCAGCCTCAATAGACATTTGCTGGATAAAACTACCATCATTGGTATTTAAAAATACAGTAATTCCTGACCTAAACCCAGTTTGTGTTGCAATGATATCAGGCAGAGCATCATTATTTACATCGATTACTTCCAGTTCCTGTAGTACAGTAGTAGTTTCATGCCTGATTTGTTTACTAAATACACCATTACCATCATTCAAAAAAACGATAATATAGTTATACGAACGAACGGCAATAAGATCAAGTTGATTGTCTTTATTAATATCCACTGCTTTCACGATAGATAGAGATGCTTCTGTTGGAATGATCATCGTATTGTTAAAGTTGCCATTGCCAGTATTATAAAAAACGGTAATCGCCATTGCACCTCTACTGGTAGCAATAATATCGATCTTGCCATCATTATTAATATCACCTGTAGTTATACATGACAGTTCGATTTCATGTAAAACTGTTTTCGATTGAGTAAATGTCTCAAGATTTAAGAATATCGTAATAGTTTTATCATCGAGGTTTCCAACAATAATATCTAATTTGGCATCTTCATTAACATCATCTAATAATACAGACCATGCCTTAGCATATAAATATGAAGGTTCGAAAGTTGCTAGATCAGAATATATCAAACATGGACCTAATACAAAACAAAAAATATTTTTAGAGTATGCACTGATTGTGAAGATGTGACCAACAAAAATAATATTGATGCTCTCAATCAACTATCTATCCATCCTCAAATGTTTTTAATTTCTGATATACAAGATTTCAAAAGCTTTTGTACTATAAGTTATCGACAGTGAACGATCCACTTCTTTCTATTTTCTTTCTAAGAGAGTTATACCGCTCGTTGTCGTTGTTTTTCCTGCTGTTGTTGTTCCTGTTGTTGTCGTTGTTCTTCCTGCTGTTGTTGTTTCTGTTGTTGTCGTTGTTTCTATTGTTATCATTGAAATTGTTGTTACCATTGTTATAGTTGCTGTTGTTATCATTATTGTTGCTTCTGTTGATAATGTTTTTTCTGTATCTCCACTTCTCTTTTTGATAATAATTATGGGAATAATAATAATTAGTATAATCAAAATAATAACCACAATAGGTAATACAATACGCAGCCATTTTTTTGTTCGAATTAGTTCCCATCTAAAAATAATAAATACTTTTAGTCATGAAACTTAGTCATGCTCCCATTCTATCCAATTTGTGTTTAATCTTAATATCAATATTTTATCATACTATATTCTTATAAGTATTTTAGTATTGTTATCATTATACATCAATAGTCTTATGTGTTGTACGCTGAATATATTCTTATAAAAACAAATAATTATGTACTTGTATTTTTAGAATACATATATATTCGTTTGTAAGAACAAATATCAATCGAAAAACACGGTACTATCAATATATATAATAATGAAAATGATAAAATACTCATAAGAAAAAAATATTTCTAAAATCGTCTATAGAAGAAGCGAAGGTAAATCAACTTTTAATCGAATTATTTGACCTTACTACATGTAAATTTC